TAAAAGAAGAAAAATGTTCACCATTGGGTAAAGAAATATGTTGTCTCATTCAGGTAGTTGTAGTGTCTTCTCTTAGGTGTCATTCAATCACTCCTAGATTCAAAGACATATAGGGCATGTTTGTGCCTCTTTAATTTTAAAAAGTGTATTACGGAATAGTGATTGATGTTGAAATGCGTAGTTAAAAAAGAAGGAAATTTTTATTTATTTATGTATTATATTATTTTAATGAGGAATGTGTGGTTGAGTACTGTAAAAAAAATAACATTGTAGAATGATTGACAAACAAAGGTATAATACTTTGACAAAACTTATAGCCTAGGTATGACGTATGAAAAGTAATTTGATAAGCTATTCATGAGAAATCTATTGTAGATAGTCACATTAATAAATCATAGAAAAGACATTGCATAGAAGATCTATTGGAAAAAGGTAGAGTGAGATATTTTATTTTTTTTTTGGTCAAAGGTTAACTAGATGTGATCAATTCTACATCACTTCGACTATCTCATATCTTCACTACTCGGAGACTATTAGAAGAGGCGTAACAAGAATAATCGATTCATAAAGTACATTGAACCAATGATAATAAAGTATTTTACATAATTAATTTGTGTTAAATATTGTAAAAGAAATTAAAGAGGAGGCATTCAAAATTAAGCCTTATTAGGTAGGGATTAAAAATCATATTTTTAGTAAATTTTGATAAAAAAAAATGATCAGATGTCCCGTAAATCTCATAAAATACGGAGTTAAAATTTGTTATTAAAATTTGAATTCTAATCCTCACTAAACAGTGTTAAATGTAAAATTATCGATGTGATCACTCCATCATTATCTATTTATTTAAATTATTTAAGAATGTGTGGTTGAAATGATATTAAATCACTGTTAAAGAATGTATTTTTTTGAAAATAATGTGGCTCAAACAAATCCTAAATTATCGATGTGATCACTCCATCATTATCTATATATTTAAATTATTTAAAAAATTTATTGAGAGGGATTTTTCAATTTTTCGATTTAACTAAAATTTATAAAAAAAAAAATGTTAAGAAAAATATTGAAAACATTACACAATCTTCCAAAATTATAAGAATTCGAAAAAAATTTAATAAGATGGTCAACCACCAAGGCCACTAGTCGATTTATCGACCTGATTTATAGAGATGCAAAATAACGAGCATATAATCTTATTGCATTAGACATGTCTAACTAAAATGACTTAATAATCATAGTTATCAAATAAAAAATCTATAGTTAGCTTTAATTTAAAAGAAATAAAATTGATACTATTCCTTAACTTGTATTTTCCAAAAAGGGTAAATAGCATAAAACGTCTCTACCTTTCGATGTTTTTGTGGAAAACGTCCATACCTTTCATTTTTGGTGGATTACACCTTCACCTTTACCTTTTTTTGTGCAAAACGTCATTCTGTCAACTCCCTGTTAAAATGCTCGGTTAAATCAAAGGATAATTAGCACAAAAAGTCCTTACCTTTCAATATTATTGTGCAAAACGTCCACACTTTTCATCTTTTGGCATAATTTGTGAAAAACGTCCATACCTTTCATTTTTTAGTATTTTCACCCCTACCTTTCACATTTCATTGCGGAAAAGGTCATTTTCATCAATTTTTTCAATAAAATGATGATTTTACCCTCCTATTCAAGTAAAATAAAAAGAAAAGAAAAGAAAAATAATTAATTAATTACAATCATAGTCATAAATTTTTCAAAATATTACAGATAAATCCTAAATTCTCCACTACCGTCACTTTCATAACCCCACCAAGCCACCACCTATAGATCCATATAGCACCACCTTTCGGCTACAACACCTATCGGACTCCACCACCACTAGCCTCGCCTCACTCTCCCCAATATCCTCTCCCATAGGATTGGTCACCAATGTGTCCGAAACAACCACATTTACGGTGGTGGAGTTCGGTGGACATGGTGGCCGAAAGGTGGTGTTATATAGATTTATGGTTGTCAGCTTGATAGGTTGTGAAAGTGGTGGTGATTGAGAATTTATGATTTCTTTGTAATTTTTTAAAAATTCAAGGACTATGGTTGCAGTTGGTAATTCATATTTTCTTTTTATTTTATTTGAATAGGAAGGTAAAATCGTCATTTTATTAAAAAATGAATGAAAATGACCTTTTGCGCAATGGGTAATTGGCGCAAAACATCCTTACCTTTCGAGGTTATTGTGGAAAACGTCCCTACCTTTCATTTTTTTGCATTTTTGCCCTTATTTACCACCTTTCTTGCGCTGAAGGTCCTTTTCACTGTTTTTTGACGATTTTGCCCTCTATTCAAATAAAAGAAAAAGAATAGAATAGAAAACAAAAGAATTAATTTCAACTAATACCCCAAAATTTCAAAAAATTACAAATTAGTAATAAATATAGGAGTTAATAGCCCAAATGGTTACTAAACTTTGCTAAAGGTCCAAAAAGGTCATTGAACTTTTTGAAATACAAAAAGAAAAAAAACCAAAAAAACCAACAAAAAAAATTGAAGAAACGGGCCCACCAACAAAAAAAGGACAAAAAAAAATAAGGAAGGTGAAAATGGAGGAAGGTGAAAAGTAAACCAAAAATTATTTTTTATTTTTTCAATCATACATTTTTAATCAAAATTTATTGAAAATTTTATTTTTAACAAAACTAATCTGTATTTTTTTTCTTTATTTTTAAAAATAAAATTTT